AGCAAAATACCACTTAATTCTCCAAACGCTATTGCTGATCAACAGCCACAGGCACAGGACTAAGCTAAAGCAAGGACTTTTACACTGAGCTGATAATTTTCCTGTCTTAGGCTGAGTCTTTCTCCTGCCAGCTTTGCTAAGAACATTGAAATGAAACCATCAGCATAAATTAAATAAACCAAAAATAACAGCTAAAAATAAAGCAGGTGTGCTGCCTTAGATTCTCACTGCAATCTCACAGGAGCCTGGTCAGGCACTGGTACGTGTTCCTGCCATCTGCTTTGTGCAGCAAAACATTTGCAGCTTTTTAAGATGTCATACCCATAGGTGTGAGAAACACCTATGTAACTTAGTTAACTAAAAAGAATTAAGTACCAAAGCAGAAGGAAGGTGTTTTGAGGATGGATGGACACGAATGGATATTTAAAATCACAGCAAGAAATCCAGCTACTGCCAGAGGGAACAAAAATAAGTGCTGTGTAACAAAATAGGTTTAAAAAACCCCTTAGATTCAGGTAACAGACAAGTTTTTTTAAACTCTACCATTGAAAAATGTGGTGCAATGTGATTTACAACTGAAGCCACCCAGGAATGTGATGCAGGCCCCTCAGGTACTAAGTTACTCCATGATGCCTTTCCTCTGCCCACTGTCTTTGTAGTTGTTTCAGGGTAGTGTCAGAACCTCACTGGCCTTACTTACAGCACAGCGGACCCAGAAGTATTCCCCGTGAATCTCCAGCACACTACCAAGGTTGTTTCTGGCTTTCTGTGAGGGTGCTCAGCTTCAAGTGGAACACACACCCCATCAACACTTCTGTAAAGCAACGGAGCCGCATCTGCCAGTTATTTTCTTGGATATAAGACATAAAACACATTGCAGGCAGGTGTCTTGGGGGAGAGGTTTACACTGAGAAACAGCCTCGAGGGTTGCTATGAAAAACACAGGCGAGTATGATGAGAGAGCAGCCTGGCTAGAACGACTCTTAACAGCTTCCTCTGCACCACAGCCAGCCTGAGCCCCCCAGACACTCCCTCATACCATCAAAAAACTCAGCTATGAAACGATTTTTAAACCTCTTTTAATAAAAGGTATTTTAGATATATAGAGGATATTAAGTAAATAAGTTACATAGTACATTACAATCACATCAGCAAGATTTCCTTTAGTGTATTAATATTTTATAAAAAAGCACACAAAAAATAAATTCAGTCCAGTCTATCACAACTGTACAGCAACAGGTAAATATATTTATATATGTACATTTTAAACACATAACAGTCTTTTAAAAGGTGCCCTAGGCAGCAGACACACAAAAGGAAGTGTCTGTTCACTTGTTAAAATAAAAGTAATATACTTTATTATAAAGCATTTATACAGTAATTACAAAGGCAGACTGCTCCTGTACAGTACACCAAAGCTTTGACTACAAATTTAAAAACAGAACATAAAAAGAATGAACACAAAAAAAGTTCATATCAAATCTGAACTACAAGGGGAAAAATACATGTGGTAAAGCTGCAGGAAACTTTTTTAAAATACACAATTACATTTCTATAAAAATATATGTTGTCATCTAATCTGGAGAAGTTAAGGGGTTTTTCTCAGGCTCAGCTGTCAGTGGAATCTTAGTCTTGGAAAGAAAGATCCTTAGACAGCTGGGAATTCAAAGTTTGTGTCTTCCTAACATATGACACAGGAGAGAAGGAGGGCGAGTAAAGCAGCTGAACCCAAGTGACAAATTTATATAGAAACTCCCCCCCACAGAAATCAAACATGATTTGTAGACTCTGCTTCTCTGTCTCTTTAAAGCTTTATGAACTTCCAGACATAGATCAGAAGATAAAGCAGGGAGAAAGTTTGTGTGGGAAAATGTGGATTAGAATAAGGTTTCTGGCAGAGGTAAGCATTGGACTGAAAGTGCCATTGTATGAAAGCAGAGAAGACTCCTAGGGCCAATAGTCCTCCCTACTCCCATTTCTTTAAAATAAAGATATGTATCTATAGAAACTTTCTAGTCCACTGCCTGAAAGAGAATTAAGAAGTGTGTAACTGCTGAGAGTGGTTTAGGAAACACTTTTTTTAAAATGTTGATTTTAATCTAAGCTTGTTGCAATGATAAAAATAACCAAAACCTCAGTCTGACAAACCAGAGAGTATTTTTAGCTAATTTGGACGTTGTCTACAATGGGATTTAACAGATGAGTTACCTTTAAGCTTTTGAATTTCTATCTCCGCCCTGCCTTTAAGCAGCTCCATTCCTACCTGTTCCTAGCCAGCAAAATGCCACAGTCCTGCACAGCTGAGTGAAATTCTGTAGGCCTTCAACTTACAGAGCCGAGTTCTCGCAGATACCATTAGCTGTATCAGTAAATGGACAAACATAAAATAAATTAAAATGCAGAGTGGTTCTTGCAGCAAGACTGCAAAACACCTGCAGCTATATCAGATATGCATCACACGTGCATGCATCTATCTAGTAGTTACATTCTAGTAGTTACATACACACAGTCTTAAAAAAATCAGATGCTATCCCATGCAGATCACAAACCTGACAGATTGAATTTATTTGTAACAGGCAGAAAGAAGCACAGGCAGAAGTACGTGATCAGGGCAAAATGTGACCTGTCGCTGCATCTCCATGATGCCCAATGCTGGTATCAGGACTCAGGTAATGGTTTTGAAATACAGCCACCTGAAGCCTGATCTTGCACTGTAAAAGGCAAATCTATTAGCACACAGAATTGCAGTCTATAAATCTTGTATTTATTCCCACAGAAAGAGCTAAAGCAAAGGGACGTCTTCTTCAAACTTAATGACTGAGCTTTTACTGCCTGTTTTCTAAATTAGCAGCAAACTCTTACACTAAATAGGGATCAATCAGTAGGCCTTTAAATGATGGAAAATAATGACCATGGAGTTTTAAAACAGATATATCAACGGAACATAGACAAGAATTTTGTTTGGTTTGGGTGGTTTTTTTAAAATCCTAACTGAACAACACAGCCTGTACTGCAGTAAAGAGCCACTCAAGTTATTTTCTCCCCTCTAACAGTAGGAACATGACTCACTCCAGATTAGACAAATTCAGTTCAAATGCTTTGTCCACAGAAATTGGGATTGGTTTTTGGGTTTTGTTTTTGTTTGTTTTTTTTTTTTTTTAACAATTCTCTGCCAAGTTTTGCTAGTAGGCACCATCTAATTCAAATGCAGGATCAATTCCAAACTCCTACTGTAAGCAGGGGGGGCATCAGGTTTGGTTTTGCTTGTTTGTTTTTTAAGATGATACTTGGAGAAATAGTTTTCCTTATTACCGTGACAGAAAAGAGGTCTTCTGGTGGCTACTAGCAATTTGTAAATATGCTCAGAAACATTCCAACTTGATGCCACTTACTTGGAACATTTATCTGATTGTGGTCAGCCATGCTAACCCACAGCTGTTAAAGAGGCTATCCTCAGAAAAAGCCCTTTTCTGATTTTCTCCCAGTGACAGACCTCACTGTGTCCACTTTTCCTGTTCTCTTATACTGCAGCAGGGTGGGAGAGGAACAACCAATACTGGAATCAGTGTGTAATATACACAACACTTTTGTGCAAGTAAAGAAAATCTCCAATTTATCCTTATCAGCACCTCAGTGCTTTGTCCCTGATCAGAGGAAAAATTATATCAGTTTCCTAAAATAGGGAAAAATCAGTGGAAGATCTGGTTTTCGGAAGACTATAACAATGCTTGCATTCATGCATCATTGTATTTGAAACAATTGGTACTTAATGCAATCCCATGATTTGCTCCCTAAATCTTTGTTCTTCAAAGGATTCAACTGATCATTTTATCTGATCAGTTGTTTTTCACCATGATTTGTTGTGCCTTAGCTAAAACTACTTCAAGCTTGAAAACTCCTAAGGGCCATGACTAAATGTTTGCTCATTATCACCCAGGCAGACTTCCAGACACTAAAAAAAATAAATTAGTAAATGCATGTGACGAACAGGGAAGGTAAAAGGCAGGGAAATACCCTGATTTTCTGCCCATAAGGAGACGAGTACATTTCAGCACAAAACTTTTTGCAGATTTACCTTACAGGAGAACAGATATAAGTTCTTCTAGCTTAGCAACCTATTTTCTAGCTGGAACTATACCTAGTTCATCCTGTCCCTCACTTTTTCCTAAGCATCTGCTCCTTATCACTGTTAGAAACAAAACCTGAAGCTAGACAGAACTTTGGTTTGTCCCAATATGAACAGCTTCTGCTTTTCCCTAAGCGATTACATTGATTGATTTTGTACTGCTTTAGCAAGGACAGTAAAAGCATTTTCCTAAGACACTTTGATTAACTTTATTTTAGTTCTCAAGTTTAATCAGATCTCCTCCCCAATCTAAAAAAAAATATTCTTTTTTTTGCCGTGTTTCTCAATGTGTGCGAGTTCCGCCTCCATTTCTTTATTATGTGTTTCTAGACCTGCTGCAGCACAGGTATTCCAGACAAATACCGTTAGCCCTGTAAGGCCATCCATCTAAGAGAAGGTCACTCTAAACAAACCTACGTCCTGAGAACCTCACTGCCACTGTCCAAGCTTGCTCGGCCCCGGCAGATGAACCTCAGGATTAAAGGGTGGGCTCAGTTCAGCGCACACTGGGTCTCACCTAAAAAATCCACTGCGCAGGCTCGAAGGGTTAATGACCTTTCCCAAATCTTCGCTCGCGAAGACTGGCCATATTATTATTATTATATTATTATTATTATTATTATTACATCCCTTACAACAGGATCAGGTTCTACATCTATAGAATAGAATATCTACATTACTTTAAATCCTATTTAGATACACTTACAAGCCCTGCTTGTTTCTGACCTGTTGCCCTGCAGTTCTCAGGATCCGGCAACTTCCCAGAAACATACGTCAGAACTGTGTTTATTTGCATCTTTTTTTTTTTACTGGAATTAATTCCAGAACTATAAGTGGACCATGAGGTCCAGCTGCTTCATCTACTCTCCATCCTGGCACAGTGTGCTAAAGCTTCTGTTCTCCCCAAGGGCCCTAGGATAAAGGCGGAAAAGCATTTTCTCCAATTTATAAAAGAAAAAGACAGAACAATCAACACTGAAACTCTTAATAAGAAGACTGATTTGCTTAAGCTTCTTTTTAAAGATTAGCAGCTTTTAGTTCTTTGCAGTTTTTGAATGATTTTAACAGTTCATGAAGTGCCATCTGCTTTCACAGCCTAGTTAGTCAACAAGACCCATGCATGAAACAGTCATCCAAACGCTGAAAGGAAACCCAATTTTGACAGGAATGAAAAATACAATCTTGGCAGAAAATTGAGCACTTACAGGCAAAAGTGTCAACATTGCAAAAAGTGCAGTCCTCATGATACTCCTACTGATTTTGTAAGAGTAGTAACTGTTTCTGCTATTAAGAAAAAGGATTCTATGTAAAGGCATAGATATGTCAAAGCAAATATGGTACAACACGAGCCTCCCAAACAAATGAGTGAAGCCATCATGGTTGCATAAAACCACAGGGCAGGAAGACTGCCAGATGGCATGCTGGAGTTAAAGCCACTTTCCATAGATAACCGGGAATTTATCTAGCAGCTTGAAGGGTCAAGATTTTTAAAAAAAAATATTCCAGTCAGGCACAGTCTGTAGTTCACATCCAACAATGTCTCTTGGATCCCTGCTCAGGAATGCAGGAGCGATTGGCTCCTTCAGTACTGCCGGTATGACACAGTGCCAGCACCCAGGAAGCTGGGGATCAGTGCTGCTCCAAGGACTGGCTGGAGGGAGGGAGCTGGGCAGCCACGGTACGGGCTGGGACCAACCAGTCATGAAGCACAAGGAAGTGATCCGATTCTCTGCATCCTTACAAAAGTAATGATAAATGTGGGCTACAAGGTGTACAGAACAATCCTGTGCAAATCTAACATCTGTCACCTGGACCACTTTACTTCTTCTTAACTCTCTTTCACCAGGAGCTTTTGGTGGATAGACTTTTTGGCTATTAGCTTGTGTCAGTTCTGAAGGAAGAGTCAGCCTTTCAGCAGGACAACCCAGCAGGCAGTGCTGCACAGCCACTGGTGTGTAAATAGGTGACAAGTTTCTCCTGCAGGAGTTTCTTCCTGACAGGAAGTATTTGGGAAACTAGGGCCCCATCATAAAAGCTCTTGATGATGGCAATTTCAAGGAGTAAATGAGGGATGCCACAAGACAGAAATGGATATTGAGAGTTAAAAAACATTCACAGATGCACCACTGCCGGAGATGAGAGTCCATTCCTCCCATCTCTGAGGTGCACACAATCCAGTGCACAAAACTTGGGTTCATTTTCACTAAACAAACTTGCTTCCATTTATGCAAAGTCAAACCCAGCAGTTTTCATTTCAAATTGCACTTGTGAAACCCAGACTACTTTCCTTAAGGTTAATCAAAGGCATACTATTTTGTTTTCCAAGATGAGACAACCCGCAAGGCCTGTGGCTACTCTAATCCCACAGGGTATTTTTATATCCACTGCTGCATTCTTAATGCCATAAAAGAAATTACCTCAGGCTTCTGTTTGAAAAATAAAACTTCCTCTCAAAAGGAAGAAGAGTGTCTTGCTCATCCCACTTTTCATTTTTGTGAAACAGAGGTCAAAAGTGCACACTATCTTTCCACAAAATTTGTTGTCTGCCTGAATAACTGCTCAGAAAGAAAGGCAGGAAAGCATAACAGGAAGGAGAACTTGCTGAGAAAGGAAACATCTAGAAGTCACCAGTGTCACAGTAACTGGATACACTTAGCTCAGAGTAGAGTTTCATTTTCTTGCTCTGGTCTGGAAAACTTTATATTCAAGAGTCCTGTTACCATGATTCCTGACAAGGACAAAAAGAAAGGTCTGACTGACCTTAGAGAACTCACTTCCACTGCAGGTGACACAGTCCTATTATGTACCTTAGGTATCATTATAAATAGAACAGAAATCTTATTAGTCTTAAGAAAAAAAATCCGAGTTATCCACCATTCTGGCTTGGTCAGTACTGGCAAGGTGAAGTGGAACATGTGGCATGAGGAAATGGCAGCACTGAAACCGAGACCTGATGGTTCAGGTAAGAAAGTGCAAGCAAAAGAAGTGAGACCACCAAGAGGGAGGTTGGGTCCAGCCTTACTACTCCCTCCACTTCGGGTCAGCTGCTATATTTCTCCATCTTCATCCGAGCTTGCACTGCTGCTCCCACTGCTGCTGCTCCCACTCTCGCTGCTCTCTTCCTGCCGGGCCTGGCTCTGGGCTGCTGCTGCCGCCGCCGCCGCCTCCTTCTCTTGCTGCCTCAGTGCAGCCGCCTTCTTTTCCTGCTCCGCGTGGCTTTTCATGTGAGCACTGCGGCTCTTCACCTTGTAGAACACCCTGAGGAAGGCACATGTGTACATTAGCAGTGGTCTCTCCTATGACTTCTCCAAAAGAGCTTCTGCTGCTCCAGCCTCAAGTTTGTGAGCTTCAGCACCGGAGCTCATGCTGCCATTGCAGTAGAGCATCCACAGCAAACACCACTGCTGACTTGGCATGCCAGCATGAGGCGGAATGCCAGCAGGAGATCCTGAGCACCCTCAAACCACTTGCTTCATTTCTTAATATGGCTATTTCCTCTTATTTCGCATTCAGCTCTAAATTCAGAGGTGCAGTGCTGGTATCAGAATTATGCACATGCTGCTTAACACAACAGGACCCTGGTTTTCAGGCATTCCCCTATGCTGGAAAAATACAAACACGGAGGCAAACGATGGCCCAGTGCCCCTCCTGAGCCTTGTGCCCTCCTGAGCCTTGTGCACACAGCTAGAAATACTTAAGCTTTTTCCTTCTGACTTTGCACTTCTATGATCTGTTCCTCCATCTTTCGCCATTAACTATTTGGATTTTGTATCAAATGCCACAAGAAAAGATTAGACACCATTAAGAATCCTTTCCTGATTGTCCTTTGTCAAGGCCAAGACCAAATCCTAACTGCCTGACCTCTTACAGCACTACCTTTTCCAATGCCCTGAGGGCACAGAGACAGGATGCCTTCAGGAAAGTCCCAGCCACAGCAGGAATCTGTCACAGCCCTGGTGAGGTAACTAGACAGATTGCATTTTCTTGCCATCCTCTAGCTTGGTGTCTTTTTTAAATAAAGGGATAACCACTGGTATTACAAGACTCTTGTAATAAAAATGAGCAATTTATGTAGAAAACTGAATTACAGTTATGATTCTGTTGGCAACAAACCTACAAAAACTGCTAGAACTGTGTAAGGAAAGACAAACTCATCCACCAAAGATGAGTGCAAATTTAACTAGATGAACTATGTACCTACTGGCGTAATCCCTGCTGCTATAACAATGGTAGTGTCTTACGTTTCTACACCGCTGTTATTAAGTCTACACCATGGTTTTAATATGTGATCCAACAAATACACAGAAACTACTCATTACAAAAATGCAAGTGTTACAGTGGGGCAATACAGCGGCTGCTTGAAAGTACAGCTTAACACCAAACAGTGCACACAGTTGAAATGCAGGTGGTGTCTTATTCCATTTGAGGAAAAACAGTCTGTAGTTTGCAAGTATTAGTGGGGCAATAAGTCATTAAAATTATTGCAATATCTCTGGCCTAAACAGAAAGATGAAAAGCTCATTTGAGAAAAAGCTTCCACAGGAGATGCCCTACAGTGATTCTGTGCCTATTGCTGGAAGCAGAGTTGCTCTTACCTGCCACATTTTTTACATGGAAATGTGTTTTCTGTGTTTTGAGTTTTACTGGTAGCATCTGATTTTATCTTCTGTTTCCGCTTCTTCCTCTGCACTGGAGCAGTAATAAGCTTTCGAGGCTTCATGGTTGTCTCCCTTGGCTTCCTTCCAATTCTGCCTGTGACAGTTGCCTCTTGATTCCTTGTATTGCCATCACTTGCCTTTGGAGAGAGGGGAAGAGTTAAGGCAAATTGACACTTAAACCCACCATCAGAAGGAAAACAATGGCTGAGCTCCTGTGCTTCCTTTATTCCAGACCAAGGTTTTATTTAATGAGAAAGTCTTCAGGCTTTCAGGACATTTCTCATCATGGTCTTATGTGTGCACCAACCACAAAGAATTACATTTCATTTTTCTTTCTTATGCATCCCAGTTCTCCCCTCACAGCACAGAATCTGGCTGATAGTAATACTCTGAGCTACTTCAGTCCAGTCTCTTGCTCCGGGAGAAGTTGGAGGTGGAAACTTTTTACACCTGGAACTGCCCACCTGCTATTTTCTAAACTACTTGCAGAGTGAAGATGGCACAGAAAGCACGATATGCACAATGCAGCACTTACTATTACACCATCTTGTAGTGTCTGTTCATCTTTGAGAGCATCTGCGCTCCTCTTTCTGTTTTCTAACCCTTCCTCCGCCTCCTCTTCTTCCTCCTCTTCCTCCTCCTCCACATGCCCCTGTTCTTCACTGAAGATGTCCCTTCTGAGAGGAAGAACACGTGCAAACCTATGGGAACTCTTCATCAGAAGATAAAGGAACTGTTAATTTTGGTGTCTGTAAGTAAATGTCATTATGTGATACAGGACACAAGTTTATGAGTCTGGACTCCTCCTGTAGAGGAGCCAGACTGTTTCTGCTTTTGATTTGATCAGCAAATGAGACAACACACAAGACTTCAAACCACAGTCCAAAAGAGGTGAAAGAAATTTAGGAAATTACCTTGATGTCAACTTCAGCTTCGTCTTTCATAGATCTCTCATTAGCACCATCAATGTCCCCGAAGATTAAGGTCCCATTCCGACCAATTTTCACCTGTTTCTTGTATGTGTAGTAGAATTCCACACACTGAGCCACTGTTTTGGTTTTTATCTGGTGTTTAAAAAGCAAAGTCCAATGGATCACATGATTAGAAGAAGGCTTATAAATAATTACTAAGGGTACAATAAATATACTTCGTATTTTCTTTCTTCAGTAATCTCCATTCCACCACAGCTGCTGCTAAAGCCTTCTTTTCTGTGTCACACTCACCTGTATGCCTCATCCCACAGCCCATCCCCTACTGCCATTGTTATTCACTTAGAACTACAGGACCAACTTTCCAAAGAAAAGCTGGTCAATGTAAAGGTGACAGAACCTTAAATTTTGTAAGCTTAATGCACCTCTTGGCCTCTGAAATGTTCCAGTTGAGCTGTCAGCCTTGAAAGCAGCCTTTCAGTTTTATGGGGGAGCTTTATTTTCCAGTAGCACTTCAGAGAAGACCAGACCAGAATACCAATCCAAAAATGGAGATGAAGGTTTGTGGCCCTTTCCCATTTTGGCCACATGCATTTCATAGGCATATGATGGTAGACAATTTTCAGTACAGACCCGTGAACCATCTACATATCCTGTATCAGTGATTTTTCTGAAAGTTTTGGAATACATTCTTAGCTTCTGAGCTTTAGCAACTTAAATGCCTTTGGGAATTTATTCAGTAAATATGTATCGGCTCCTGGTTTTGCACTCTGCTTCAGTGATTTCCCCCTTGCTGACATGTCATACCACATCAAAATATAGGAGTGATCACTTTTACAATCATTGTCACAAGAAACTGGAAAGAGAAATCCTAAAGGATACATCATTCACACATCCCCTAGTGCTTTCCATCAGTGGCAAGGATGTGTTTCTATTTAGTTTCACAGGCAAGCCATTTAAACCAAACATTACCAGCGCTCTATAAATATGCCCTGCAGAGGAGTTATCTGCAGCATGGACTAATGGAAGTAATGCAGCAAGTACCAAGGTTAAGTAAACAACAGTGAAAGGAAACACTACTGTTCTGGCTTTCTAGTGAGATTTTATGCTGTGCTGGATGATAAAATTTCTCTGAAATCTTCTGAGTGCAGGACTTAATGCTTAAAACTGAGGTTTCAGAAAAAAATCAAGATTGAACTTCCTATATTAAATGCTTAACAAACATGTAAGAATGTATCGTTGTAATTTAAAAAAAAAAAGGTTACTTACAAGCTTTTGGACTAAGAAAAAGTCTTTCTTGTAGATTGCAATGCCTTTGTTGAATAACTTTTTTTCCTCAACTTTCCACTTGTCTGATCCTGCAGGTAAAAACAAAAGTTGTAATGGAAGCCCATGCTATTTCAAATTATCTTTTCTTCATGTTTGCCTTAAATAAGACTAATACACAAATATAAGGGTGCAGTCTCTCCTCACACCTACTCCAGCAAAACTGCAGACTGCTGTTAAACCCTCCCCTACTGCTCCACCTCAGTTCTCCTCTCGTCACTTCCTCTGTGTTAGATCTAATGCTCATCACCACAGGTTAACTCAGTTCAGCTTGAAAAACCACTCAATTAGATGAACTAAGATGTTGCCCAACCAAACAGCAATGTGAATAGACATACTTTGTGGTGGCTCAGTCACTAGATTTTATAGACAGGAAATGGTGGGGCAGGAGAACAGGATCTTCTCTTCCAGCAGCAATCCACTGTACTTGAAAATTTATTACATCTCAGATATTCCTCAAATATTCCTTGCCTCTAATAATAAACACATTTTTAACTCCTTCCTTCCTTTTAGATATTAATCAAGTAATATTTGCCAACCATTACAGTAGTGTGTAATAATGAAGAAAAGTAATTTCTATGCTTTACCACCTTACATCAGGTCTTTCAGGTGTCTCAGGTTACTCTTGATCACTGAAATTAGTGTCACACAGCTGACTACTTTCTAATTAGGTGCAAGACTACAGAGGCAGTTTATGGCATTTAAATTTTGCAGAAACATTGACAGGCATCAAGAGCTGGCTGAGGCTTCTTCACCAAGCTTGAAAGCTCTTCGTCATAAAACCCCTGCCTAATGCTACCCTGGAAACTCATGCCAGACAGGCTGTGATTCTAAGGCAACGGCAGCCTTTCTGCATTCTCTGTGGCTCAGTGCAAGGGATTGCATTCTCTTTTCCCCATAAAGGAAATCAGAACACATACATATGCCAACACACACATGCACATATTCAGAAAGATGCAGTGTTTCTTATAAGTGTCATAATTTGCACAGGCAAAATTTCTGGCATGTCATCATTTGATTTATGGGAGAGGAGTGGTCCTTTAATCTTACTGTAATGTTACAGAGTTCCTCAAAAAAATCAGAAAATAATAGAAAAATTCCAGTATGATAAGCAGGCAGCACAGAGTTATTCTGTTAACAAACCTGTGTAGTGATAATCTGCCAAAGGGTGGGTAGGCGGTCGCACTGGCCTCTTCAACAGCAGTTTGGTCAGAGCTCCCTAAGATAAATACAAGTAAAATAATGAATTTAATGCTTGGGGTATTAAAAACAAATATCAGGCAATTGTTAATCCTCCCCTTTTTGTGGCAAGCTAACTGAAAAGAACCATAGCACAGTTTAACAGTTGAGACAACTTTAAAAATTACGTTCTTGACTATCCACTTAGTCTTGGGTACCGCAGGCAAGTGGTATGTTCTTATCACTTCTTCACGTCTGTGAATTGATACAATCACCACAGTACTGGGAGAGAGCCAATTCCACAGACAGAGACCATGCAGCAGTTTCCTCTCATTAACCAAAGGCCTCTATTACATACTCACATCCAAAAATGCTGCCCTAAATGATGCCTGCCTTACACATCCAAGTCATTGTGATCTGATCTCACTTAACTAAGCAATATTTCAAAATAAAATAGCAGTCACACGACTGAAAGATTCCACACACATAGACAAAAACCCCCACCTCTCAAGCTGCTTTTTCACTTGTATTTAAACCGGAAGTGCTTTCAAAGTTAGTAGGAAGGTGACAACAGAGTCATGCTTCCACTGACAGTGTAAACTACCTGAACAACGAGCTCCTGCTGCCAGAGGCAGTCCTGCTCCTCCCTAATGGCAGCAACAGCACTCACAACATGGGCTGGCAGAAACCAAACCCATGCACACAAAAACTACTTCGTATGTGTTCTCTTCTCCATACAGGTAAATGCAGTATCACAAATTCAGCGCCAGGGGACAAGAAACAAGCAGTCAGGCAAAAGTGCGGGATACTCCTGACCACTCCCAGAAGTGTCAAAGCACAATAATGGAAGTGTATCATGTCTTACAATACTGATAAAAAAGTAGCAGCACAGCCATTCTACAGATACAGAGAAGTTAAATGGATCTGCCAAAACTAAAAGAAGCAAGACATTGCACTCTGTCTCAGCTTCAGCCTCGGCCTCTTACTTTTCCTTCCAACATGGTTATCTTCCCAGGAAGACAATATTTAAGACTCATTTATCAGTCTTGGCTCACTCACCCTGGTAGACTCTCAGTGCGTCTCTTAAAAAACCAAACATGATGAAGTTGGAAACATAAAAGAGAGTAAGTGAACATGGCACTGTACATCAGACAGAACCCACTTTAGGGACATCCAAGGGACAGTGGACTAAACAGTGGAAGCCAGATAGGGACAGTGGACTAAACAGTGGAAGCCAGATGCATTGCAAGGAGTTTGCAAGGCTTTCCTCTCAGGAGTGAAAGGTTATCTGACCTTCCCAAACATCTTTGACCACACTGAGTTGAACACCTGGGAAGACTCACCAGAATGCTTCCCTTTGCTTCATGTAAGAAATGCAATGCCAGCTCTTGGTTGGTTCCAGCCCCAGGAAAAATGCTTGAACAGGCAGCAGCTAGCAGGTTTTCCACTGTTTCCAGAGGAGTACAAAAAAATTCAGGTAAGAGGATTAAAATGAAATTTCCTACAGATTTCCATGATTAATTAGCTCTTTTGAAGGAGGACTAGGCAAAACAGAAAGTAAAACTTTCAGAGAAACTGAATGTCCCTGCAAATTTATCTGGGTCAAATTTGGACCTAAGAACTCATTAGACTGCAAGGTCATGCTGTACTGTTTCCACACAGAGTTTCTTGCAAATCTCCTCCCTCCTATAATGTCTTCCCACCTCTCTTCACCTCAGCGACTTCTTGAATCCCCTCTTATATTGTGAATTTCCATTTCACAATACCCTTTTTCCTCTCTAATCAGAAAGATTTCTTCCAAGCCTGCCCACTTCCTCCTCCCTTCAGGATTTATACAGGCCACAACTCATCTGCAACAAAAGCAGACAGCTCCCCAAGTCTGCTTACTAGCTGCCACAACTCCTGCTTCCTCATCCTGACTTCTGTCTACAAACTTGGTTTTTCCAAAATTTACTATTATGTCCAGAACATCCCTCAAAAATACAGAAGTGTATGTGGCTTTCAAATGTTAACAAAAACAGTGAAGCTTCACTGAGCAAAAGGCTGCTCTTTACCTGACTAGAAACAAATAGTCCCAGTTTTCTGTCAATTAAAAAAAAAAACAATCCTACCAACCTCCCCCTCCCCACACATGCAACCTGATAAACAAGTTTTACTCCTAAAATTGTTTCCAAGACCATTCAAACATTTGACTTGACTGGCAGCTCAGAGATTTTAAATTACGCCTACAGTAGGTCTGTGGTTACCCCTAAAACCACTGTGACAATTCAGTCCTATTTACCAGCCTTCCACCTTCTTACCATTCTCTTGGGTGTCTTTGTTGGTTTCCAGGTCGCCCCACGGTTGCCACACCAGCTCTGCTTTATGCTCATCAACTTCTGCCAGAGACCTGTCCTGGAGTGATGGGATTTCTGCTTGAAAGCGAGTTCCTACATTTATTCGCCTGCAGGGAAAGAAAAAAGTAACAGTCAGGACCCCTTTACAATATCCAGGAAGTCTCCATCTCTGCTAGAAACACTAATTATGAAGAAACAAATGCAGCAGGCTCTTACATATAACACAACAGTGTTGCAGGTTACATTATGACTCAGAAATTGAGAGGTTTTACGACCATTACCAGTTTCCATTGTCTTATCAGCAACCGTTGGAAGTTGTATTTAAATTAGCATCCCCCTAATAGGTGCTCAAATAACAGTTATTAGCTTCCAATAAACATCACTTTTTGAGAGGCTGTCACACAGACTCCACTTATGGGAAGCTTGCTCCTCATGCATAAGACGGGTGAGCCTGTTTAAGTATCAGGGTTTTGTCAGCCATAACAGCAGAACCATAGTCTCCAGAAGTCCTTTTCAACCTACACAATGCCATCTCGTTCAAATGCCAATTCAAAGCAGGATCAAAATTTGGTCTGTTATGATCTTGACACAAGCTAGTGTCTTCTAGATACTCATTCTAACAACTGAAACAAAAAATAGGAAGTAATGAAAGCAGTATTGCTCATTCTGTATCAAAACCAAATCACATTCTGTTAGCAGCAATCTCATACTTTTAGATCTGAATCAGCACACAGATTTTTCACTACACGCAATCAACAGAGCCCTACACTTGCTTTAAGTCAAAGGACGACCATCCAGAGACATTCTACTCCGTACTAGCAAATGCGACTTTGTGCACAGAGATAGGTAAGAACCCCCACTAAAAGACTCTTCTACCAGACTTTGAGGTCTGGAGGTCTACACCAAGAGCACAGCCAGCAGTGACAGCATGGAAGTACTTTATCATTACTCTATGTCTCAGTGGCAAAATATGCAAGAAGTTCCACTGGATTAGTGTGAAATGAACCAACAGCAAAAAGATGAATTAGGCCATTTCTAAAACGGATTTAAACAACACCAAATGTGCTTATTTCCATAAATGGGCTCAGTCTAGAGAAGATTTGCAAAGGTGACAAGAATAATCTGGGTTCATTCACAATTGCAACACTTGCTCAGGACAGCCTCCTACCACAAGTGCAGAAAATTGAACTTCAAACAGGAAGGCAGAATGGAAAAAGGGCAACATAAAAATAAACTGTCAACAAATGCTCCAGTCCATTTTTAAAATATAAGCCATTTTGGAAGAAAAAGCAAAATAAGCCCTGTATTTATCTGGAGAGAGTTTGAGTTAAATATCTCAAATGTTACAGGATACACTGCAGAGTTAGAGCGGAGATTCCGCACCGTACAGTCAGCGATGCAGAGCCACGTGGGTGTCATTATCCCATATGGGTGTTTCCATGCCATGCATCTCCATGATTAGATTTTGCAAGAGTTCATTAACTAGGTGTAATAATGAACTGGAACTACCTTAGTGTAGCTCTGCAACACTGAGCTTGAGCTGATAACACTTCTCAGAGCATTTGCAAAGGCTGTGCAGAGACATTTGCTACTCTGCTCAGGTTTAGCAGGACTGGCCCCAAGCCTAAGCTTACAACGCCAGCTGCAGTATCCCCAAATTGTGTTCCATAGTGCTGCTGCATCCACATACATCTGAGCTTTCCCAGTACACAGTCAGCTAAAACGACTAACAAGGTTTATTAGCTCAGGGCACATCCCCCATATGCCACCGGCTGCAGTGCTTTCAACTGAGCTCGCCTGGGGGGAGTGAAGTGTTCATAGTTGTGCTGTAGCTACAACACACCACAGGGATAAACAGTGATCTGACCAGTTCATGAGAGAGCTAACTACAGTTTTCCATACTATGTTCTGTCCTTCCTTTAAAAGAGCGTTATCTTCCCACTAAAACAAATGCAGCATACAAAGAAGTGCTCCTATACAACAAAACAGGACAGCTTCACCCTTAGTTAACTAATAGTATTTCAGCCCAGAGACAGACAAGCAGTAACACAAAGCAATTATTATCTCCAGAATTAAATCCAACAAACATTATTTTTCGTACAGAGTAATTTTTAATGAAGACAACTTATATTTTGAATCACCAGTAGGAATAGCTTTAATACTTCTAACAGATACACCAGTTGCACACAGAGCAGCCTGAAGGTTTAGGAGGAAGAAAGGAAGCACATTTACTAAGAGGCTAAGGATCTATGGTGTACTTACGGTTCAATGCTGACTGGGGTGGCTTCCCCCACTACCGTAAGAACAGGAGGGGTAACTTCTGAACTATCTGCAAGCAGAAAAAAATAACTGCTCAGACAGCTCAGCTTCATATCTGAGATTTACATTTCACACAGCCTGCAAATCTAATCAGAGCTGTCCATCTCTCAAAAAAGGTACCCACACGCTAAAGGAGCTTAACATGACAAAGAACGTGCCTTCCTCCCCTCAGTTCAAGATACTGATAATCTGCTACAGAGGAACTGACTTTTCCATTCTGAAGAACGTCAGCAGGGGGTGTTGCAGATTGCCCGTGAACGAGTCTTAACACCCCCAACAACACATTTCCTCCATCCCAGTTCCCCAGACAATCATTAAGAAGCCCCAGTTTCACACAACCACACTTCCTAAAGGCATAACCTTCCCCCTATTACTCCAGAGTTCCTAATCATAGATTACCCAGGAAAAGAAGGATAAAAACTTACTTGATCTAAGAAGAGTTCTGTGACCACTTTTCGGTGTCATTGGAGGTGGAACCGAGTGACCACTTGTAGAGAGGATAGCATTAAAATATAGCCCAGATCCTTCTCTCACTGGACTAAGAATTGGTGGAGGAGTGTAAGGAGGTAGCTCAAAGTTCCTGTCTGAAGGATGATCCGCCAGACGGACAGGTGACCGTAAGTGGCTCTGATATGGAGTAATGTTAGAATAAACAGGGGGTGCAATAAAGGTGCCAGCTTTTGGTGGTATGAAGAGTGGCTCAGGTCTTGGCCGCTGCTTTGGTTTTCGGGCAAAGCCCTCTGCTTCATCCTTTGGAACAGCATCTTCATGCTATTAGAAAAAAAAATTACATACTTTAATTTTAAAACCTGAGGTCATTTGAAAAACTTCAGAGAGATGACAACGCACTTTCATGGCAGCTCAAAATCTGGATAGGACAGTTGGGGGGGGTGTCAATAATTAGCACAAAAGGAAAGAGGGAGGAAGAAGACAGGGAATGGAATGGACACAGGAATTATTAGGTAGCAGCACTGTCTCTGAGTGATTATAGAGTTATATTTTACAAGAACTACACATACATCTGGTCCAACCTTCATAGTAACTTTAAAAGAGGACACAAAACCATAGCAGAATCCTGGTATACCAGTGTGATATCAAATAGCAGTAAGAGAACAGAAGACAATATAACAATATTTTATTAGATGGTCAAGCATCTAATTTCAGAGAATTCCTTAGATTCCTGCCATTTCTCTGATATCTGAACAATCTGTTTTACTTCTGGATAGAAGAGAGAGATGAAATTAAAAAAAAAAAAAAAAGAAAAAAAAATCAACCCACCCACTCACTACCACCACACTGCCGGGGGACACAAGTACCGACCTTCAGAACCTCAGTAAGAGGTTTCAACTCCATGAGAATAAATCTTCACCTTGGATTTTATTCTTATAGAGAGATATGTGCACTATGTACAATTTATTATTATCTATGTATGTATGGAGAAACCACTCTTGGCACAGACAATTAATCTAGTATTATTGCCCATACGGTTTTGTTCACTGTTTAGTAGTGGGCATAGCATTAGCTGTAGGTCATGAAAAGCCAGCAATGCCCAAATATATGGCAATATTATGATGAAAAAAAAAATCCCTAGACTACACACATTCCAAGTTCAAGGCCTGAGATCAAACTACTTTCATAGAAAAGTTTATGGCTAAAAACTGCATAATTAAATCTAACAGATCTGGCCCATCTTTGGTTTCGTAGCCTATCCATACCTGACTTGAGGTTTCCATGTTAGTATTACGATTAGATCGCCTCCGGGTGACTATCACAGAAGGCTTGCGTTCACAAGGAGCTCGATCGTTTGTTTGGCCTCTTGGCAGCTTTCCATCCTCAGACTTTTCCTTTTCAAGGCTCTGCAGGTCAATTTTTCTCACTGGCACAGACACAGGAATGATAAGAGGCACAAGGCTGTTGTCCTCCCGGGCTTTTTTGGGAGCTGGCGAAGAACTGGCAAATTCCACAACACTTTTTGCAGCTGTAGGTCCTGGAGCTGTTACCAGCACACTCTTCTCCTCTGAATTATCCAGTTCCTGAGAAGAAAAATAGATTCCTAAAAAGTTCTGTAGTACTTACATAATAAATCAGATGATATCTCACCTTCAGCGTATATCAAGTTTCTCAATGCAATTTGCAAGCTGAAATGGATTTGGAGGCATTACTGAAGGAAAAAGAATACTTCAGAGTGTTACCAAAATTTTACAGAATTACTTGAGGACTGTCCGTAGTCTCAACTGCTAGAATATTTATATACATCATTCTTAAGAATGATTTCACTACCTATGTTTTGACATTTTATTTTCCAGATAAATTTGTGCCCTGCTTTATAACTTCCAGCAAAGGTTGTTCAGTTCTAGTAATGATCAAAAGCTGTAGGTTATTAATGTCAAATATTGGATTTCTGTTCCAGGAAAGACCGAACCATGATCATATTTTAATTAAATCTCTCACACACAAAAAAAAGCAGAGCTAGCTTTTTGTTGCATTTTTTTTTCTGACTTACAGGAAAAAAGAAATTTTTCTTATTATGACTTGAGCCTTTAAGTTTTGTTGTCTAACTAGGCTTGAGCATGAAGGACTTATGCTTGGAGAATCAACAAGGTATAACTGCAAGGCAGCACTTTTGGCATTGACATTATTGTTTCCATGTCTGTTTTACTCATGGAAACCCTATCACACTGAGCTCCAAGGATATGGGAACGGAGGATGAGTTACTGGATAAACACATGAATACTCTAACACCAAATGGCTTTAAGTACTGCTAGAGAACATTGATTTCTAGTCCTTCAAATTACTATCAACATGTTCACTCTCAGTTCTGAAGCACTTGCCAGCTCACTTAGAAGTCAGATGTTAAATACAACTTTCAAAAACACCTCTCTCCAGGGATGTAAAAGGTCTTCTTGAGCTCTGATGAAGTGCAGTGTAGAAGCTGTAGAAGATGCTCCTTTTGGTGTTTCAGAACATCTCCCCACGTTCAAGCTCTGTTTGGGAAGCCTTTGGATAGGATCAGGTATGCAAAGTCATCCTCCATCAGAGCCACAATCTATTGAGAAATCCAGCTGAACAGCTGTGTTTTTTGGGTAGAAACTAAGACACATAATCTCTCAGGTATGACAACAGGTCTCCAACCTGGACTTTCAAAATTTTGCAGGGATTTACTGAAGCCTTCAAACAGAACCTATTGTGTGTCATAATGAGTACCTAGTCCTGATGAAAAAGCTGACATGAGAGGTTTTGTCCTAAGGGTTCAGACACAACCCCAGTCATTTCACTGTGGTCATAGATGAAGAAAGTCATTCGGCTTCACTGATGAGCAAGAGAACATGCTTCAGCTGGCCCATGAAGAGTCAATCCATGATAGCTAGAAGGACACTAGGCTGAAGTCCCATTTTGATATTATATTGCGGGAAGCACAATTGTACTGTCACAACATGCATCAGTCAGAGCCTAGGGTTAGTGCTCTGGTCTCTCTCCAAATGAGAGTCCTGGTAATTTTTGTTGTTTTTAAGAGCAAGCAGGTCCACCCTGGAAAACATTAAGCCTTCAAAATATGCCAGGTACCAAGCTTGAGCACGTAAAATCTACTATATCAAGAAGATTCAGGACTGCCTCCTTCCCAGACCTTTTATTAGAGTAGGGCTAAGTGAGCACAGAAAGATTTATTCTGTAAATGACACTGCAGTTTAGAAGTCTGACTGCTTCTTCACAGAAACTGCAAACGTCTGCCCCTACCACGCAGTAATGAAAAGCCAGTGATGAAAACCACGCAGTGATGAAAACTGTAAAGCCACGAGTGGCTTCCGCTGTCCCAGATTGCACTTCAGAAGAAATTAATGAGCTCCAAGGACCTGCCTTCACTCCAGGCTGCTGACATACACCTGTACTTTCCCATAAAACCACCAATTTTGGATTTGGAGGGCATTCATGCTGACAGACATGTCTCTAGGACCCCACTACTTCGAGGCAGTAAAGGACTCTTGTAAATTTTCATAGCCTCCCTCCATCACTTCAGGAAAGAGAGACTAACAAGGATGCCTTTTAAACACATGAACAGGTCAGCTACTGGAAACAGATATCTATGCCTACTGGTCCTGCCCACACCTGAAGAAGCAGCTCACAGGTGCTGCTCTCCATAGGCCTCCATTCATCAGGGAAATTGATGCTGTTATCACCTTATTACTGAAGCCCTAGTTAAACACCTGGAATAGCTCTGGGGTCATCTCCTGACAGCAAGATCCACAGCAGGTAGTTTTGAACCACTGTTTGGAGCAGTGCATTCACACCACATTGTTCAGACCACTGTCAAGAAAAGTCTTGGTTTTAATCAGGTTACTTTTTATCCACCTGATGTAGCTCTCATTAGTGCAAGCACTTTAGCCCACTTTGTGCAATAAAACAAGTAATCACAATGGGAATATGTGAACAAGCACCAATTCTGACCAATCTACAAACCTCAGGTACTTCCCGTGTGCTACACAGATCTCTGTAGGTCAAGAGTCATGAACTAATTTCCTGACTACAAGGAGGAAATTATAGCAACTAGTCACACAAAAGATGTCACTTTTCTCTGACCGCACAATCAGCTAACCATGCTCTTTTTATTTTCAAGACTGGGAGGTTACCAGCAAAGGACTCTCCTCCTTAATGACAGGAGAGATGACCCCTTCAACAGAAAAGAGGAAGGGGAGACCTGAACAGGAGCAAAGGTTGAGAAAAGACACCACTGGGAACTTAATATATAAATAGTTGAGACATCCTTAAAGATGTTCTGGTCCACACCAGAGCTTTTCTGGTCATGAAAGACCACACATACCTAAGGTTTACTAAGAGGGGACATGACTAATTTTGGAATTAAGCTATTTGTTTCAGATCTCCAAATATTTTCTCAACTGTTTGATTACTCTTAGAGGTAAGCAGAAAGGAGTCTCTGACCAAGGGATGGGACCTTCAGTTTTAGAACTGCTAGGGGATTTTCAGCTACCTGTTGCAGAATTTGGGGCAGTAAGTCTGCTGGATAACTCCAGCAAGTGTGACTTGTTGCATAAATATTGCGGGATGAACTAGTACAGTCCTCCGAGAAACTCATCAGATGTTCTGGCGTTGACCCTGCCTATCCCTCAAGTTGTTTCTAAAAAACTTAGAATTCACAGACATAACTCAACTGCAACAGCTGGAAGAACTGTTTCAAGGCCACTGCTGTAATCAGACAAGAAACCACACCAGGCTTTCAGAAACACCTGCCCACACAGTGCTTTCTGCCATCATTTTGCATCAAGTAGAGGCAGCTTCTCTCTGCAGTTAAAAAGAAAGCTTGTCCATGAAGGAGTTCTGTAAATAAAACTTTTTTTTCTTTTGTAGGTGAGTCCAGAACCACAATTCTACAAATAAAACCTTTTTTTTTTCTCTTGTATGTAGCAGCTGGCGCCCTGGTAATCAAAGTTACCAAAGAGGCCAGGTAACCAAAACCTCTGTCTCCCTTCCATAAAGGAATATTAAAATCCAGACACCCTTTAAGATGACCATTTCAGATTTGAGAAAAGTTTTCTGGCTATTTAAGACGACAAATCACACTGCCCTTTTGCATATAACAGCTATATGTGAAATGAAACCATAAAATTAAGAGTTGAGAATTTACTGCAGCCTGTAAGCAGCAATAAGCTTGCACCACCTGAAAAAAGGCAGGCACAGGTGATGAGCAGCTCTGGTGCAAAGCATCAGTTGTGACACTGCATGTAGACAGATATTGCTGTCCAGAATACTATTTCTACATAAGATACACACACCTACATTGGAATGTTCAAACAACTTATTCAAAATATGATGTATCTTTCATCAACAATTTAACTCTACAGCTTTGTACACACTCTTCACAGAACCATGCAGAGAAGGCTTCTAGGTTGTTTGTAACAGAAGGACACTAGTAAGAGAAGCAGATTACTTTTCTCCAGTAAGCATTTTCTTTTTCTCCCTTGCATGATATCCAACCCCCTAAAGATGTAAAATCCATCAGACCTCAGGTAAGAATTTAACATCCTTCAAAAGCTTATCCTGAAGGCCTGAACAGATCTAAACATAGAGTTCTTCTGCTAGTGCCATCATGGAAGCAAACAAGCTGCTTGCATAACAGCAAAGAACAAAAGAGCATCTGTCAAAACACTTATCTGTTTGGTCTTTACATTATGAATCAAGCTGCAAGCGGACATGCCTTCCTTCACCTCTCAGGGCCTTTTCCTAGATGCTCTATTTGCTTTTTCTTGCCACTCTGTTGGTGATCAGAGTACAATGTGAACTGTAGGCCTTCTGCAATATAACCACACACACAATGGCTGGGAAATGTATGAGCAAACAGACCATGCTACTAACTACTACTACTAGTTTTCTACCAAATCTGCTTCTTCAACTGGAGTTAAGAGCAAAAAGGATTGAAGGCAGCATCAACCATCAGTTACTGTTTGCTGCCTGCTGTGGAGGAGATGAAGCAGGCTATGGATATTCACCACATTGGTTTTTAGTACTTTTTTTTCACTGAAATAGCACATTCCTCTAAGGAAGAGATGGGCAAAAACCAGCCACAAACAAACTAGGAAAAAAAAAAAGATGATGAGAACAAGACTGGGAATAAAATACTCTTCCCTCTGCTGTCTGACTGGGCAGCAACACAAGTGGCAAAAACTGTAGGTAAAAGTGGCTCATGCCCTAATATCTGTATTTCATCAGCCTTTGGCAACAAAGCTTCCAAGGTAAAGTATATGGTTACTTCTCGTGACAGACACTCAATGAAAGATTAGTCAAACCACTACTGTAAGAAAATCTTCGAAAAACAATCCCTCAAAAAACTCCACCCAACTCCAAAAATCCCTTGCCTCCCCCTTGGGTAGTTAATTTTGAACTCTATCATCTTGCCATATGGAATATATACTGTACAGTTTAGACTGATGGGATGCCAAAAGGACAGGAGAGGTGAACTACCTAATCAGCCAACACCAGATTTCTTCCCCATCAAGCCCTACAGACAGTCTACAGGCAGACTTTATTCTCAGGTCGTTCTCAGAAACAAGATGCTGCATGAGACAGACCTTTGTTATGCCTGGTTTAAGTTCTTCATGTAAGTGAGGCTTTCTCAGGCATTTAATATTTGGGAAGTATTGAACATGCATTATGTAATTTTTAGAGAGCACAATTTAGAAATGCTTCAACTGCTGAAACTGAAAAACTGGCAGGTAAGCAGCAGTCTTTTAACAGAAAAGGAAGAGAACATTAAATTGGTAAAAAGACAAGTACACTGCTTACACTTGTCTCTCAAAATTCCTGACACCTTGACACCTAAGATGAAAACATCCATATTTTGAAGTCCTGGGCTAAAATCACATTCAGTTTTAGTGAAATAAAACTGCCCTTAGGTGGTTTCACTCCATTAGATCTCCGCTTTCCTGCATCTATGAATTACAGTAGTTGAACTTACATGCCTCCACTCCAGAGCTGCCCCTGCTGTACAGTTCAAGATACCATCCTATCCTGCATATAAACATAAATTCCTTTCATTTCAGCCCTATTTTGTAGTCTAAAACATGCTATATTGGTTAGGATGTATACCTTACCTTTACATTCTGAAGAGAAGCCAATTCAACAGCTTTTTGAGCCAAAGTCAGCAAATTGGCTTCTTGAGAAACACGTCGTCTCCGTCGAGTACTCTGGATTACACCACCTCTGACTCCCTGAAAATCATTAGTTCTCTGAGTGTTTTCTTCAGCTGCTGCTGCCTGTTTCTCCTCATCTCTACCGTTCTGGGCTGGGGCTTGCCTGTCTGTTTCCATCTGGCACTGCTCACTATTGACCAGGACATCCTTCTGCTCCAGATCCATTCTTTTGGGGTGCGAAAAGCCACTTTTGTTGTGGGCCAGTGATTCAGACGGATGCTGTAATGGGACCTCTTGCTGATGCGATTGCCAGTGATGCAGAAATAAATTGCCAGGTTGTTCTTCTGCCTGCTTGGAAGTCAACACTTCTCCTGCAGATGTCAGCAGGACACCTTCTTTGGAGAGTCTCCGTGACCTTCTTGGAAAGGGAATCTGGGTCTGAGGTAGCACAGTCTGTTGATTCTGCTCTGTTAATGCCTTGAATAGTTCCTGGTTCCTCTCTGTTTGCTGAAACTGGTGTGCCACCATATGATGCTGAGGTGCTGCAGCTGCCACATGAGGCTGTGCTATGGAAGTAGTTTGCTGCAACCCAAAGGTTTGTGCAGCAGCCTGCTGCTGCTGCTGCTGCTGCTGAGGATAGAAATTTTCAAACAGCTGTAGCTGAGGAAGAGCTTGCTGCTTTTGTTGAGCAGTAAATGCTGGACTGGAAGAAGCTGGGGCTTCTTGAAAGACATGTAACAACTCAGGAAGACCTTGCTTTTGACCTTGGTGACCAAATGCAAGTTGGAAAGGCTGCAATGGCAAACTTTGATTCTGCTGCTGCTGCTTTTGCATCTGATGAAAAGAATTCATTTGAGCTTGCTGTCTAACCAGGGCTTGCTGTTCCAGCTGAGCCTTCTGGGACATCATCTGCTGGACAGCATCTCCATATAAGTCCAGCTGTGACACGAACACTCCTTTCTCTTGATTTCTTTTAAGGGCCTCTGGGTGGCCATAGAAGCCTGGGGCACCAGCATTGGAGTGGGGTCCTTTTGGGTTGCCTCCAAAAACCATACTGTGGTTCCACACTGAGGGTGGAGATTGCCAGTGGCTGTCACCCCTCTCTGGTAACCGGTTTCCCATTAGTGAATTCTGCCATTTGACAGCTGTTACTGACTGGGGCATCATCATTGATTCTCCCCTATCTTGATTGTAAACAGAGTTCATCAAAGCAACACTGTTGGGTGCACCTGTTAATCCTCCTGTGTGAGGAATCTCCATAGTTTGGGAGACCGGTATATTCCCTCCATGACCATAGTACTGTCCTTCCTTAAGCTGCTGCTGTGGTTCTTTTGACAACACACCTATTTCCTGCTCATTAAAATAGGCAACTCGTTTCCCAGTCCTTTTGCTTGCAGACTTTTGCTGAGCCTGAAGATTCATGGTTCAGCCTATTCTCTCGGCTGCATGCATAGTATTCACAATCCACCCATCCCTAAGGCTGGGGGAGGAAAGGCACAGAAGTCTCTCTTTTCCATTCAGTTTTAGTAATAAAGAGCAGGAAAGAAGTCCAGAGGAAAGTGCATTCACTTCCTTTTTCTTTGTGTGCTTCTCCCACTTCTTTTCACTCCTATACTTTGTGGTTCAGAGGTCAGTAGGGTCCACTTAGTTACAGGTCCTGAAATAGAGAAGCATTGGCAATGAATCATCACCAGACATAACTGGCCTATGAACGTTCACGCGATAAGCAACAATGTGTATGTCTGTCCTGTTTCCCATGGAAATGAAGACCAGGATAATACAGGTAAGAAACAATAGATCTGACCTGCTACAAGAATGTAAACCAAAACAACTTAGTTTTACAAAACAGATATCACACTGTACTTGCATGATGCAACTCCCAATTGCACACAGACTTCTGACTAATCACTCAGCTCATTCTGAAGGTTTTTCTCTTAAACTCCCTCTCATCTGGCCAGTTACTTCTGTGTCTTCCAGAATAATCTGTTTCTAATCTCAACTCAAAACCACAAAACAAAAAAACCTTCATGGCTTGCCAAAAGGCCACATTTCCCAAAGACCTTTACAACACACACATGCGAAGGCTGCAGCCAAACACACAGCAAGATGCTCAATGCAGTGTTCTGAAGGAAAGGGACAGGCAGCAGCTCATTAGTCACACTGCTCCCCGTTCCCCCCCAGTCATTACAGCTGCTTTCCAATTAAGAACTGCCCACCAAACATCCAAGCACTGGAGACAGGGCCTGCTCTACCTATTGCTCTCTCAGATGTTTTCTTCAACAGCTGAAAGCAAATGCTCCTGCTCAGGTCATACCGAAAAGTAGTTCAGGCAGAATGTTACAGCTGCTCCCCCACACTGGCAAATATCTGTTACTGTAGAGCTACAAATATAATAGAAGAAAGCCTTTCCGTAACAGGCAGTCTAAGACAATTCTACCCTCTCACCCTCTTCTTCCATAGAAAAAAAGCTATCCACAAACTCTAAGAGCCTTGCAGGATTAACGTCTAATGTGTTAACATATACACTAGTATTTCTACTAGGACACTTAAAACGCTTTAAAATGTTATGTTTTAAATTTAATTAAATTCTTAAACTAGTACTACTAACATTCAAGTTATTAAGAGCAAGTCTCTATCTTTTTAAATACGCACTCTGTTCCACTTCAGTTCACACTGCCAACATATTTCAGAAAGATTATAACAAATCGTTAAAAACTTATTGTTGTTACGGCCCTTTTGCTACATGATCAAGTTTCTCTAGAGTGGAGCAGGTAAGACTAACACACATCCACTCCAATGAAACCTGCAATCCATTCAGCTCTCTTTAAAATGAAAAATAATAAACAGATTATATAGCACACTGAAGTCCTGTAATGTGAGCTTCCTCTAAACAGATATGGGCACAGTGCAGTACTGAGGTGGGGTTGGAAACATGAGGAGGAGGAAAAGACAAAGAGTTTCAATTAACTTACACAACTTCCACCTCAGAAGCCAAGCTTGGCTTCAGTGCTACTGGAACCATGGGACTGTGTTTCAGAGTGAAGTGAGTCACTTCCTCAGGCTGTTACATAGCTGTTCCCCCACACTGCCTCCCCCTTCACCCTGGCTACAAATCATGGACTCCTGCCACCTCGTATTACAGAGCCAGGGCATTCCTCCCTCCTCTAAGCACAATGTCTCAGCTCGTTTTCCAGGCCTCTCTAACCAGGACGAAAATAACTCCAGGAGAAATTATGGACACGTGAGATAGAAAATTCTCTCTAAACTGCAACTAGTATACAAGCAAATACTTCACAAAGTATGTTTTTCCTATTTCAAAACTTCACTAGGAAAGGAAAAAACATCTTACAGCAGGAAACAAATCCCTGGTCACAAAAATGTAGAGGTGGAAAGGTTGCTATATGCCTCTCAGAAGCATTAATGTTATCCTCTCTCCTTGCTTTTTGCAGCACTGCAAATGTATCAGTGCTAACAGCTAAACCATAAGACCTGAGGTAATACTACTAACAGTGGTTTCTGACACTGTCTTACTTTCTGAAATCATCACAGGCTGTTTTTCTCTCCAAACTAGACAACCTGGTAACAACTTTCCTTCCACTGATGCTTCTACTTGCTTTTACGTTGATCAGTCACATAATCCCGATAAAGACAATGCAAGGTTTTCTGTGATAACCAGAAGATGTTATCACTAGATCAAATTTTAATCTGTCAGCTTTCTGAAGTTCTGCTGTAGATTTTCTACACCTTGAGGAAAAATGTAACAGTAACTGCCAAAAAGCTGGCATTCAACTTCAAGGGTCCATGTTTTCAACCTGTCTTCAAAAAATTTTAAAAAGAAGAAAAAAAGAAATTAAAATTAAAAAAACAAACAAACAAACAAACAAACAAACAAAAAAAACCAACACAAAAAAACCAGTTGATGTTGTTCTTAATAGTGGTGGCTGAGATTTGCAGCTACCACACAGACAAGTATTCAGAAGACCTTTAGCAAAAGGATTCTCAGGTTAGTGAGAAAGCATTGCATTAGCACAGCCTTCCAAACCTCCTGTTGTGTGGACTTTGGCTCTGTTTTTTCCATTACTAGATAAGAAGCCACCAGCAAGACCTAGCTCAGACCAGTTTACAACTGCACTGATCTGGGAAGAAGATAAAAAGATGCGAAGTTTAAAATTAAGTAAGTTCAGATATAACCTAAAGGCAAAGGAGAATGTACAACCGAAGCTGTTCTTCAGCACAAGACCCAGGATAGTGAAAAGGACATTACCAACGAGGAAAAAGATTTAAGGTACTTTGAACAAGACATGATTACTGAACATCCCAGTTATCCCAGTTACATGCAAAACTAACTATATCCTAACCAAGCAATCACCAAGAACAAAATAGGATTTGGTGCATCCAGTATTAGATGGTAAAAGAACACATCATAAAACCAGCTCTTTAGAAGTTCTTTCTATATAGAAAAAAATGAAGAATATCTTTTATGTCATCCTAATAATAATAATAGTCCATAGTTTAAGCTGCAGTGATAAATGTTCAAGCTGCAGCATGACTATGCTTCAGGAAAGCTCACACTTGGCAGCTTCACTGGATGAGCACTGCTGGCTCTCTGACTAAGCAGGCTTCCCTCCCTGAGGTTGAGGGATTAGCTCACACTATCATCATCCTAGCCAATTACCAGCTTTGGGCCTTTTTTTTCTTTTGTTTTATTTTAATTTCAGCACAAGAGTCAGCCTGCAGTAGCACAGTAAAATGCCAACACACTTCCAGCCTTAAGTGTGCTTTGGAGCAGTATACCCCTGACCACTTCTTATCTTTGAATAAAGCACAAAGCCAGTTCCAATACTGTAATTCCCTGAAGATGCTGTGTCTTACCTCCAAATATACTGAGGTGTTATCATACCTTGCACTGCTTTTACACTGCACAGAGAAAAAGCAGAACCTAGCATCAGTGTATTTTGTTTTAATAATGCTAAGATTTGACATGCAACATCACCAGTTGTTTTCACTTCCAGGAACTTCTGACATTCAAGAACATCTCTTGAACTTTCTTCAGATGAATATGAATTGTACGTCACCTCCTTTAATACTGTAAATATTTTCAGGTTTCTAAGGAATTTTTCATATTGCAAGGCTTTCTCTTCTAGACCTAAAAAGAATGTCAAATTAGATACACATACACCCAATGGGCACATATACAGTATTTTCTGGAATGAAATGAAAAATACATAAGCAAAGTAACCTATGGGACCTTACTGAAAAAGGTCAGAGCTAGCATTTTTAGCTAAAACTTCTCCAGTGTATCTGCAGTACTGCCTTAAAGAAAATCATAAAAACAAATTAAACACCGTGTGGGCTACGTTCAGGCAGAGCATCTTGAAGGACTTCCTCAAGTATACAACAGAACTGCGGAGGAGTCTCTGCCTGCATCCAGGACATTGGTTCTGAAATTATGAAGTCCTTTCAAAGCGGAGATATCTGAGAAGTGCAAGGCACAGGCACTCAGAGCCACTCACTAGGCTGGTACCAGCCCTGAGGACCCATCGGCAGATTTTACTCAACCCAAAGCAGAATTGTTTAGACATCTCTATCCATTGCAACCATCTTGTCCCAGTTTAACATTAGCCTGAAGAGTTTGCCATAAAACCTTAATTAAAGGTTATTTGATTTAGGGGACAAATTAAAAACACTCAACTGCAATCATTTAATATAAAATATATCTATCTCTCTTTAAAACTTGTTGCATGTATACTTAATATCCACCCACCATTATTGCATTTCTGTAAATATCTCTTCACTAAGCATGTGCATATTTGTACAATTTCACATATCATGACCTCACACACTGCAATAATCTTAAACTTTACTCTTTAATTCACCTGTTGAGAGCTGTGCTGTCCTGTGCTTTGTTTAGTCCATTTACTGTACCACCTGTATCTGGCATGATAAGCAAGTTTAAATTGTGCACACTCCTCATCTCCTTTGAGATAATTTGCACACAATTCTCTGACAGAATGCTGCAGAAATGACTCAGGAAAGACTGACTTCTCCTTAAACCTCTGCAAAATTAAGGATTCAGTACTTATAGACCATCTTCTATTCCACCATCTTAGCTTTTAAATTCCTCTATTTTAGTTGGGTTTTTTCCTGTAAAATAAAGTGCTCCTGGGTTCTAGCTAATGTACATTCTCAGCCTTAACTACAGCAATGCTGTCACAGTTCCTTACAGGAAATCTGTCAAATCAGAGTGACAAGAATAATTTCTCACTAAGTCCTCCTGCTGCCAGCAGCTGAAATTATCTATCTTCCCTGTAAGAACCTCAATCACTTTTAATGATGATGAACAGATTCCAAGAACAATTGTTACACTTAAGTCAAATGCAGAAAGCTACTTGGTGTCCTTCTAACACAGCGCAATCAAACCTTCCTTCGCCAATTTGCTCATTATTATGGTCAAATCCCACATTTACGAAACACAAAGAATCATGACACGTTTTACTAATGAGGAACAGAAACAGAGGAACTAACTCATTTCTAAGATCACACAAAAGGAAGGTCAAAAATTAAGCACAGAATAAAGGATACTAGCTACCAGTTCCCCTTCAAACCCACAGGAAAACACAGGTTTAATTAAATCCACCTGTAAAAGATAAAAATTGG